TGGATATGTTTTGCCTCAGAATCCTCCCTAAACGAGCCCTAAACCCTCAAACCGAAATCTCGAGCTCACGGCTCGCGGGACTCAGGGCTTCAGGTTGTCAGGAGGCTGGGGACGGGTGTTCCTCTCTTAGGGTTCAGGGTTTAGGGTTGAGGGTTTAGGGTTTAGGGGTTAGCAGGTTCAGATGCACTCTGGCCGATCCTTCGGTTGAAGGCATCTAGGGTGTAGGGTTCAAGGAAACTCTGTTCTAGCCCTTGCAGAGAGCTCGCTGGCCTCGACGCCAATCCCAGCTCTAAAGACCTAACCCTCCGACGCCTAGACCCGTCCCTAACACCAACACTGAACCCTAAACCCTAAACCCCACCCTGAACCCTGAACCCTCAACCCTCAACCCTGAACACATCTAAACCCGAAACCCCAACATGCCGCCACAACCTTAGATAGACCCCAAACCCCCTGTGCCAGGCGTCATGAAAGGCACGGCGATGCGGGCGCTCCGCGCCAAGGCCGACTCCGACCGAGCTAGGGTCTGGGGTTTGGGGTTTAGGGTTTGGGGTTTAGGGTTTAGGGTTTAGGGTTTAGGGTTTAAGTTTGGGGTGCATAGGGGTTTGGGCGCACAGGGTTTGCAGGGCTTCTCGGGTTGACAGGGGGTGTAACGCACGCGTACCATGGTGAGGGACCCCGGCTGCCAATGAAAGTGCTGCTGAATAGCGACCGACCAACAGAGCTAGAGCCCAAAAGCCTCCTAAAACCCCACTGACTAATTATATCCCGGAGGAGCATCGTAGAACCCCAGCCCCGGCCCCAACTCTCCTGCAACCGTTCGCCCGAACACGATACCCCAAAGGCTTCCCATCACCCCCGTAACCTATAAACACCCTAAGCCCTGTGGGTGTAGGGCTCAGGGCTAAAGGATGTCAAGCTCAGGAACAGCCCTGCATCCTTCAACCCTCAACTCTCAGCCCTATTGTATAGGGTTTATGGTTTAGGGGTAGTATCCCTAAACCCTAAACCCTAAACCCTAAACCCTAAACCCTAAACCCTAAACCCTAAACCCTAAACCCTCAGCAGGCCTTACTGTGCCCCCGCGGCTGCACCGGCCTACAGGAGGCAGGTCGTCGGCTTCTCCTTGGGACGTTTGGGGTTTGGGGTTTAGGGTTTAGGGTTCAAGGCTTGGGGTTTGGGGTTTAGGGCTTGGGGTTTGGGGTTTGGGGCCTCGAGTTTAGGGTCTGGGGTTTAGGGTTTGCGGTTTAGGGTTTAGGGTTTGAGGGTTTGGGGTTCAGGGTTTGGGGGCTAGGGTTTGGGGTTTAAGGTTTGGGGTTAGGGTTTGGGGTTTAGGGTTTGGGGATATAGGGTTTAAACCCTAAACCCAACCCTAAGCCCTTTAGGTTTGGCTTTTAGGCCTTCTGGGCTAGTTGTTTGGGCTTCTTACGGCTGCTGGATGTTAGGGCTTGCGGATGGAGGGTTTGGATTTTAGTTTTTTTGTTTGCGGCCTGGCGCTGTACTGCTTCTGGATAGATGGGCCTTCAGGCCTAAATTAGAGGTTATGGTGCAGGGCTCAGATTTCAGGGCTTCGGGTTCGGATTTCAATGCTTAGAGTTCAGATTTCAGGGTTTGGTTTAGGGCTTGGGGCTCAGAGCTTCGGGTTTGGGGCCTAGGGTTTAGCGTGTAGGATGCCAATAGCCGAACCACCAAGCATTACAAGCCTCACGCTTACCGTGTAACTTTAGTTCCCAAAAGTGTTCGGGCGTTTGGGGAGCTGTCATAGAAAGATTCTGCGCGGTAGCTGCTAGACAGACTTGCAGAGGAATCCTGAGACTATCCGGTAGATTCCATGAAAATGTTCCCCGAGTTTGTGGCAGAAGTCTGAAGCCACACAAAAGGTTTGTACTAATTATGAATGAACGGCGGAGATGAGTGGTATGATCCTTGAACCCCAAACCCTAAACCCTAAACCCTAAACCCTAGCTGCCTAAACCCTTATCCCACCCTGGGGCTTCCTTTGGGACCCCCCCATGCGGAGGAGCTTGCGCAAGAGGTCCAGCGCCAGGCGTCGCAGAAGGCTGGCTGGCATTCCTGCAGGGCAAGAGGTCCTCAAAAACCCTGGACCCCTTGAGGTTGGGTTTAGGGTTTAGGGCTTAGGGTCTAGGGTTTAGGGTTTGGGGTTTAGGGTTTAGGATTTAGGGTCCTGACCCTTTGAAGGTTTACGGGGTTTACGGCCGTTTATCGGGTTTAGGGTTTAGGATTTATGGGGTTGATGGGTTTACGGGGTTTGTGGGGTTTGTAGGGTTCAGGGCTTAGGGTTGAGGGTCCTCAGCCCGACAAACCCTACAAACCCAAAAGACCGCAAAAAGAAGCTCTGGGTTTAGGATGTCTGGGTGTGCGGCGCTTTGGACTTGAGGTGCTGAGGGTTTGGGTTGAGGGGTCTAGGACCTGATGTTCTTGCAGCAGCTGTTGGTGTGGTAGGGTTTAGAGTTTCTAGGGCTAAGCATTTAGCTTCGGGTGTCCAGACAACACTCAGGGGGACTAAAGGAGGGACTCGTAAGGGACCTTAAGGGTGCTATTTAGGTACATGTACGGGTTCAAAAAAGGGAATAGGATGAAGGGTCCCTTCTAGACCCGTAGACCCACAGCCCTAAACCCAAAATCCAACCTAGACCACCCAAGTACCCTTCAAGATGCCCCAAATACCCCCCCCCCCCCCTGAAGGTACACATAGCTCCTACTAAGAGGGGGTTGCTGCAAAACCCTAAACCCTAAACCCTAAACCCTAAACCCTAAACCCTAAACCCTAAACCCTAAACCCTAAACCCTAAACCCTAAACTCCAAGCCCTGGAGCCCTCTCTGGGGTTACCCTTTAACTATGAATGAAGGGTTTCATACGAAGGTCGCGCAAAGGGGCCTTTGTCACTAAAATCCTACGACCCCAAAAGCCCTAAGCATCCGAACAGAAACCCCTAAACCCCTAAAACACCAAAACCTGAACCCCTAAACCCTACCCTAAACCCTAAACCCTAAACCCTAAACCCTAAACCCTAAACCCTAAACCCTAAACCCTAAACCCTAAACCCTAAACCCTAAACCCCTAAACCCTAAACCCTAAACCCTGAACCCCTATAAACCCGAAGCTCCCCAAGCCTCAGGAGTTGCAGAAGAGCCGAAGTCCCGACCCCACCTTGTGGGGTCTTCACCATTTGGGAGAGTTTAGGGTTTAGGGTTTAGGGTTTAGGGTTTAGGGTTTAGGGTTTAGGGTTTAGGGTTTAGGGTTTAGGGTTTAGGCCGGGTGCGGGGGTTAGGAAGTTTAGGGGTTTTGGATTTCGGGCTTAACTGTTTGGGAGTTGAAGGTTTCGGAGGGCTTAGCGGGTCAGTGAGATTGGGGGTCTGCGAGTTTATGGGGCTAAGGGGCTTGTTTAGGGTTTAGGGCCCGCACTTTCCCATGGTGATTTTTGTTGAGGGTCTTGTTGGGCATAACTTTTCAGCGATTTCAAGGACCTACTAGGCACGAAGCCCACAACATAGTTTTGCGCTTCAGGTCTTACGACCCTAAACCCTAAATCCTAAAAGCCCTGCACCTTAGTCTAGGCCCCAGGGTAGGCCTTATTCACTTTTATGGGGGGCTCCGGTTCCCTGAAAAAAAGCCTCTTGAAACCCAAAAGGGCGCCCTTTTCATTCCTAGGTTTCTCTTGGGCCTGGCAGTATATCCTTGTGTTCAGGGTTCATATGCGGGTTTAGGTTTGAGGGTTTAGGGTTTAGGGTGGTAGGCCCTGACTTGCGAGCCTAGGGTTCAGAGTCTAAGGTTTTCTGGTTTGGGGGGGCCCAGCGCTTCGGGCTGAGGGGGGGGGGGGTGTGCTTTGTGTTTACCTTGTGGTAAGCCCTAAACCCTGAATCCTACAAAGCCTAGAGGCTCTTGGCAACTATTGACCCCTGTGCGGCTTAAGCTCCCCATCAGCCTAAACCCTAAACTTGCCCCAAACCCGAAACCCTAAGCCCCAAACCCTAAACGCTAAAACCCTGACGCCGAAGCCCCTAAACCCTACACCCTACCTAAAACCACGGAAGTTGCCCGAACCCCCCAATTCCTACACCGAGGCGCCATGACTCTTCGAAGCACGAAGTCTACCAGTAGCTTGCTCGGGAAGAGGTAGTTAGGCCTCGCCCCGAACCCTAAGCACTAAACCTACAACCCCAAACCCCAAACCCTGATCATGGCGCTTTTGGGGTTTGGGTTTGAGGTTTGGGGTTTAGCGTGTGGGGGGTTTCGGGATTAAGGGAGAGGGGTCAGGCTTAAGTTTTGGAGGGCCCGTGAATATATGGTAATTCTGCCAGGATCTAAAGTTCCTTACCAACCCACTCATCTGGCAGATTTAGGAATTAGGTCTTGCTGGGGCTGATTTTTCTTGGGCCCTACCTATAGAAGCCTAAGCCCTAAACCCTATATAAACCCTAAACCCTAAACCCACCAGAGCCACCGAGATTTGATCTTCACCAGGGGCCCATAGAGTCCACCCCAGCTTAGGGAAGTGGGCCGCGTGGCAAAGCCACCCGTGGCCGTGTCACCCTCTCCGCCGAACGGCGGCCGTGGATGCAGCGGCAGAGAGTCAAAGCCCACGCGTTTCTGCAGGAGATTCCAGAGCACTGGGTTTTAAGGGTTGAGGGTTTAAGGTTGAGGGTAGATAAATAAAAGTGCGAATACATAAATAATGTGTACATATATATATATATAGGATAACGTGTACCTCATGTAGGCTATAGCTGCCATGTGAGATTAGTTGACTTTAACGTAAGATGTTGCAGCAGACCGGCGTTCTGAGATCCACGATGCTTGCAGCTTTAGCCATATTGTCCCAGGACATCTCTGATATTCTCCAAGCGGAAGAAGTCTAGCCCGGTGCTCTCCAGTGGCTGTATCAGGCTCGGTGGGAACTGGCTTCTGCTAGCGTCTCTACAGGTGCCTTCCAAGCCTTGTGTAGCTTCGTGCATACGTCGCGAGGTTGGGAGCAGCATGGATGTCAGGCAACTGCTCGCCAAGGCAGTCACGCAGCCATTGCCGGAGCCACAGTTCCAAGCGGCAATCAATGGCCTGAAGGAGGCTGGTGAAGTGGAGGACCATTTCGGCATCGCCCCAGGTAAGTTGGGTGGGTTGGTGGAAAGCAATCCTGCAGTTGCCACTGAACTACTGGTGAAGTTGAAGGGCACCGCGGATTTCCCCAAGTATCTCAACGCACTGCTCGACATGGAGATGTCCTTGCATTCCATGGAAGTGGTGAACCAACTGCTGTCCGCAGTTTGCCTTCCGCCCGAGTTTGCGCACGCGTACGTGTCGAACTGCATGGCCAGCTGTGAGAACATGAAGGACAGGTTCATGCAGAATCGCTTGGTGCGCTTGGTCTGCGTGCTCTTCGCCAGCATGATCACGCGCAACGCCCTACGGGTGAGTGAAGTGGGCATCGAGCTCCAGGCGTTTTGCATCGAGTTCAGCCGAATTCGAGAGGCTGCACAACTGTTCCGTCTGTTGAAGGCGAGGGAGCGGGAGCCAGGGGACCCCAGGTCCCAAGCAGCTGAAAGCTCAGCAAGTTGACATGTGCTGCACGCATTTCGCTGCGATCAGAGTACGATCTGCGGAAGTTGTTCTTGCCAAACCTTGTTAGTATTGTCTGAACAACAGCCTGGCGGCACGAAATAGTGAGAAGACACTTGCACGCGGCTGGGTTACTTGAGTATGTTTCAGCTCGTAGAGTGGGTTGTGCTGCAAAATCAGTCAGCGGTAGTCCATGAAAAAAAGTACACGACTAGACATCACCTGAATCTCACTGCTTCTGGTAATGCTACTGCTACTCACGCTACTGCTTGTGCTCCTTTCTCTTACTGCTACGGCTACTCCTACCGGCCCAGCATCGTGAATATCAGCCGGGCCCCTTGGCCGGTTTGGCGAGGGTTTAGGGCTACTAGGGAGTCAGGGTTTAGGGTTTAGGGATACTAGAAAGTTAGGGTTTAGAGTTTAGGGCTACTAGGGAGTTAGGGTTTAGGGTTTAGGGCTACTAGGGAGGTAGGGTTTAGGGTTTACGGCTGCTAGGGAGTTCGAGTTTCGGGTTTAGGGCTACTAGGGAGTTAGGGTTTATAGAGTTTAGGGCTACTAGGGAGTTAGGTTGTAGGGTTTAGGGCTACTAGGGAGTTAGGTTGTAGGGGGTTTAGGGCTACTAGGGAGTTAGGGTTTAGGGTTTGGGGCTACTGGGGAGTCAGGGTTTACGGCTGCTAGGGAGTTAGGGTTCAGGGTTACTAGGGAGTTAGGGTTTAGGTTCCAGGGATACTCACGACTACGGAAGTAGGATATTCCAGGTATCTACTTCGTACAACCCAGGTGCGACAAGGGTCCGGGGCTTAGGGTTTCGGAATGCACCTTGAACTACACAGGGGAGCGTGGTTAAAGAATTTAGGGGTCTAACCCTACATCCAAAACCCTGAAGGGTCGGACTAAAGAGTTGTGGTCAGAAAGTTGTTTAGTGTTTAGGGTTTTGGGTCTTGGGTTTTGGGTTTTGGGCTTAGGGTTTAGCGTGCGAGTGTGCCCAGCTGGGCTTCAGCAATTTGGAAGCCCGATGACATCCTTCTCCACAGGATAAGGGCCATCGCCCTTATGTACAAGTATGGTTGCTGGGCTGCCCCAAGTACGTTTGCTTGACGGGGAAGCTACCAAAGAAGCGGCTCACTGCAACATATTCAGTAGAATCAACCGGACGACATCATACTTACATCCTGAATTGAATTTGGACCCTTTTGCTCTACAACTAGGACGCTCCCATGTAGAAAGGAAGGCCTGACTGACAATTGCAGTTGCTGGCATTTGCATGCTCAGGGAAATCTGACTGCCACCGGACATGTCATGATGCGTATGCAGTACCGTTTGGAGGGCGCCATAGGATCCAAAATCTCGATGTTGGGCGCGAGGTTGCAGTGTTGGGGGATTCTTGCCGACGTCTGCAGCATCTGCTGCATCCTGGCATCATGTCGGAAGATGGTGAGGGAAAGCCCATGGACACCGACGTGCAAGACAGGCCACGAGGGTGCATGGACCTAAGGCCGTCAACCCGAAGTCCTCACAGCCATCGTCACTTCTAAACTCCTTGCCCTCCCACGGTCTTAAGATCATCTTGAGAACACAAACTCCTTTGTTCTTTTCGGGTTGAGGGTTTCGGGTTGAGGGTTTAGGGATCAGATGTCATGAAGACGGGGGTCAGAACAGTTGGGGGCGATCATGACGTGATCAGAAGACGTTCAGAAGGGCCAAGGAAAGGATGCACAAGGACTTCAGGACATTTCTGGGACGCACAAGAACTTCAGGGCATTTCCGCGGGCCATACGCCCTGGACGGGACTCCTCGCAAGTTTCAGTCTACCCTATAAGTCTTGACCTCCGTGCTCTCAACATTCGTATGGAAGTGAAGGACGGCAACCCTAAACCTCAAAACCCTTACTTCACTGTTTTGGCCGGAGAAAGTTTCAAATTGGTTCAACAATGGGTGCTTGGAGTCTAAGACTTGGGGAGGTGGCTTCATCAGGGGTAGGTTTGAACATATTTTTATTATTACTACTACTACTATTATTATTGCTACGATTATTACTATTATTATTACGACTATTATTATCATTACTACTACTACTACTACTACTACTACTACTGCTACTACTACTACTACTACTACTACTACTACTACTACTACTACTACTACTACTACTACTACTACTACTACCACTACCACTACTACTACTACTACTACTACTACTACTACTACTACTACTACTACTACTACTACTACTACTACTACTACTACTACTAATTGGTAGTGTTTGTTACCCTGCATAAGCCTTATCAATCCCGAAAATGTAGTTTTTGTAGACCCCCCAAACCTACCCCAGTCAGAGTATACTAGGAATAAGGTACCACACACATAGCTCTTTAGTTCGGATTGCGCAAGGTGCCAAAAAGCGTACTTCCCTTGCTGAGTAAGGTGGGGAGGGCTGTTGGGGTCAGGGTTTAGGTTTTAAGTTTTAAGATTTAGGGTTTAGGGTAGGGCTTAGGGTTTTAGGGTTTAGGGTTCAGGGTTTAGGGATGTCGGGTTTGCTTGGAGGTTCATGGGTTCTTATAACCCCAAGTACAGGTCTACTTACAACCTACTGTTAGGGACTTTGGGGCCTTCTAAGCATAGTTACAACGGGGGTTATAAGTACCATGAACCTTTAAGAGGGCTTTCGGCCTTAGGGTTTAATTGTTAAACCCTAAATAAAGGGCACAGCCCACATATGGTTAATGGGAGCCCCATGTGGGCATTTCCCAAAATAGGGGCTCCTTTCATACACTAAATGGAATAGAATCCCCTTGAAGGGACCCCCAACAGGGTACCCCCCCCCACCCCCATTTTCGGAAACTCCCATGTACTTGAAGGTTCATGGTACTTGTTAACCAATTCTAACTGTACTGATAACCCAAATTATAACCATACTGGGGTACTTAAGGTGCATAGGTTTCAAAGGTTAGGGTTGGAGCTCATTCTTTCTGAAAAATCCCCAGGGTTTAAGGGTTTTAGGGTTTTAGGGTTTGAGGGTTTTAGGATTGAGGGTTTTGGAGTTTTAGGGCATTAGGGTTCTAGGGTTTCAGGGTTTCAGGGTTTCTTACGCTTTAGAAAGGTTCACCCTGGCACCCCATGGAGGCCGCAGGTCGCAGCCGAGAGGGACCTGGACGAGTACCTGGAAGACGCCTCCTGCCTTGACCTCAGGCCCTCTGAGGCCGTAGCCCTCAAACCCTAAACCCTAAACCCTAAACCCTAGACCCTAGACCCTAGACCCTAAACCCTAGACCCTAAACCCTAAACCCTAAACCCTAAACCATGGACACCAGTCAAAGCCGAAATCCCGAGGGTGGTGCATGGAGAGGCTTCGGAGCCTTGGGGGCTTTGGGATGAACCCCTCCAACGCTCTAAGTCCCCCCCCCCCCAACCACCCTAAACCCTAAACCCTAAACCCTAGACTCTAAACCCTAAACCCAAGCCCCGCAAACCTCCAACCTTATATTGAAGTCTGCGACGGGTGAAGTCGCAGTGGCATGAGGCGCCCCCAGTTCTCTAGGGTTTACCCTACACCCTAAGCCCTAAGCCCTAAACCCTTAAGCCTAAACCCTAAACCCTAAACCCTTGTAGGGTTGAGGGCTGACGCATGAAAGGGAGCCTACAGGCAGAAGCACGGTTTAGGGTTTAGGGTTTATAGAAATTGTCTTAGGCTTGGGTCCCATCCCTTGGGGGTGGCAAGTTTCACCAGGACAAACAGGCAAAGAGAAGAGCCCCCGCAATGGGGAGTGCTTCCTTTGGCGCGAGGGGCGCTGCAACAACCCTGCCTGCGAGTTCAAGCATGAATGCGCGAAGTGTGGGTCGTCCACAGGCTGGAGCCGCAGATGCCTCCAGAGAAGAAGGCTGGCAGTATCGTACTTTGTGGCGTGAAGGACTGTGGCAGTGAGCAAACTTCCAAGAACACGCGGCACTCTGCCACGAAAATCAGTTCAGGCTATGTCGCTTCACCTGCGGAGCCAGCAACGTGATTTCTGAATCATCCATCCTCCCAACCCTTGGAGTGAGACGGCGAGTGTTGAGGACCCTACGTTGGAAACAATATGTAAACCCTAGGACGGCTGGCCTGTTTTTGATGAAAGCGGTGTAGGGTAGGATTTAGGGGGGCCGCCTCCTGCGTCAAGTTTGTCTGTCGGGTTTTAAGGTGCAGGGTTTGTGATGGATTTGGACGTGGCCTTGCCCCGAGAAACTCCAAAACCTTCCACTGCAAAGTAGTCCCTTTGTGGGTACCCATTGGGCCTGCCCCTCTCTGTCGTTTAGGGTACCGCCTTCACCCTTAGCCCCAGCTAGCCCCAGCCCTAAAACCTGGAAGTATAGGGCCAGTCAGGCTGGAAGTGCTTCGAGGATGTGGAGGACGAGGCCGGACTTCCCAGCACTGGGGGCTCGGAGTTCACGGCCCTCACCCGATGTTCTTGGAGGGTTTAGGGTTTGGGAGTTAGTCCTAGGTAGGATAAGGGGGACCCTTCAAAAGGGGACCCTTCTTAACCCTCTTCTGGCTCTCTTAAACAGGGACCTTATTCAGAGGGTCGGGTCCCCCTTAATCCTATCCCCTAGTTAGGTTTTTTGGGTGTTGTCGGTAACTTTGTGGGCCTCAGATGTGAAATCGGAACCCTTGGGGCGCGCATGGCTCCCACCTTCTCTGCCCAACCCCCTGCACGCAAGCCGGCTTAGGGTTCAGGGCTTAGCGTCCGGCCCTAAACCCTTGAAAGCCGAAACCTGAAGGTTCTGTAGCCCATAAAAATCCCAAGACCTGAGCCCCCATAGCCCCCAAAGGTTCGAGAGCTGAGGGTCAACCCTGGGCCCTAAACCCCTAGAACCGCAAACCCTGAATCCAAGCAGGTCCACTACTTGCGCCACCGCGGAGACGCGCTGGCCCCAACCTCAGAGGTTTGGGGCTTTGGGGTCCTGTATGTTTACGGCTTAGGGTTTAGGGTTTAGGGTTTAGGGTTTAGGGTTTAGGGTTTAGG